GTCGAGCCGAGGGGAACCGAGGCCGGGAGGCGAAGTACGGGCCGGGCCAGGTGCTCGTACCGCCGCTGTGTTCCTCAGCCGCCGCCGCAGACGACGACCAGGCCGCCCTCAGTGCGCAGGCGCGGGTGTTGACGCTGACGCGCGCGCCGCCGCCGTCCAAACAAAAGGCCGGGCGCGTCCCCGCTGACCCCTTAAAGGAGCCGTAACCAATTTCTCTTAGGCTGCCTCCCAAGTCGTGGTATAGAGGAAAGATTCTCACGGACAAAAATAGCCTCTGAGGCCCTGAGGCGGGTGCTGCCTTAACCGGTCTTACAGCCAGGACTGGAACCCAGCCCAGGGAAGAAGAAATGACGTTAGGCATGAAGGCTGGGAAGAGTATAGAGCTACATCTGGAACCCCGAGTGGTCTTGGCATGTTTTTTACCCCAGGCTGGTGCCTCAGTTTGCCCGCCCTGAAAACGCAATGCAGATGAGCAGTTAAGAGAGCTCCTAGGACGTCTGTAATCCCAGCACTTTGGGAGGCGGAGGCGAGAGGATTGCCTGAGTCCAGGGGTTCGAGACCAACCAGGGAAACTTGGTGAGACCTCGTCTCCACAACAAAATCAAAAAATTAGTCGGGCGTGGTGGCGGGCGCCCACTAATTGGGTGGTAGTTCCAGGTACTTGGAAAACTGAGGCAGAAGGATCACCTGAGCCCAGTAGTCGAAGCTGCGGCGGGCGTGAGCGTGGTACTACACTCCAACCTGGGGCGAAAGAGTGAGACTCTCAGAGAGAGAGAGAGGGAGGGAGGGAGGGAGGGAGGGAGAGAGACAGAGACAGAGACAGAGACAGAGACAGAGACACAGGGCCAGAGGTTTGGGGACCGCAGGCTTGGGGGTTGGCAGCATTAAAAGGCCCAGGTGGTACCTGGTTTGACTGGTGCATCAGATGTGCCATGCACCTTTCACCTCCTCCATTCCTACCTTAACTCCGTTGGTTCTGCCCCTTGGCTCTTGCAGTCCAGAACTAGGACCAACATTACTGAAAATGTCAAGCAGTCCATGTGTCTGCTTGAACAATGCAGTGAGTCAAGAAGGCCCACTGCTGATTTCATTCAGTTCAGTCTCAAAATTGCATCTGTGGGAGGTGTTATTATGAGGGAAGCACACGTGGGGCTGGAAGGCAGGACAAGGGGATGCTGGAGAGTTAGGAAGGGCTGTTGTAGCCACAAGTTTTGTTCTGTGTCCTCGCAGTGGTGGAAAACCAAAGTACAGCCACCTCTTAGTACCCTTGGTATCATGGGGGGTTGGTTCCAGGACCCCCCAGGATACCCAAATTTATGGATGCTCAATTTCCTTATTCAAAATGGTGTAGTATTTGCATATAACCTACACACATCCTCCCTATACATAAAATCATCTCTCCTTATAATACCTAATACAATATAAATGCTATACAAATAGTTGTTATACTGTATTGTTTAGGGAATCATGTTCAAGTCAGTACATATTCAGTTCAGACACAACCATCCCTTTTTTTTTCCTTGAATGTTTTCTGTCTGCAGTTGATTGAACTCATGGGTATGGAGCCCACAGACCAGGAGGGCTGACTATGTTGTGGGATGGGACTGGGTGTGGCAGAATCAAATAGAATACCCATCACTGTGGATGGTGAACAGAGGGGACAAGTCGGGAAGCAGGAGCCAGTTAAGAAGCCTCTGCAGGTGTCTAGTGAGATGTGATATAGGAATGAAGCAGGTGGAACCCTGAGGACTATGTCAAGCCCAGAGGGCCAGAAGATTGGGGACCATAGGGTTCCACTCTGGCTGCCAGGACAGGACTGGACCTGAACCAGGCCTCCCCATCCTGGCTACACAGTCACAAAGAGAGACCAGGCAGACAGGTAGAAAACAACAATGTTTAATAAAAACAGTAAAAAAAAAAAAAAGAAGAAGTAAAAGTTTTATACACACTGTACACGCATTTACATGGCTTTGGAGTATAGCAGTGCTGGGATGAGGGCTTTAAGAGGATCTGGTGGTCCTGGACAGGATTGAGGTATGTCAGGGCCTCCAGGACCTCTGGTTTCCTGCAGGAAGCATCCCCATCCCCAGCTGACTGTGAACATTTAGGTCTGGACCCTGGGGAACATCTCAAGGATCACTATCCAGAAGGCAGCCAGATGCAGACACCCAGAGCTGACTTATCAGGAAAGGACCCATCTGCCCCATGGCCCAGATGCTCCACCAGGGCAGAAAGCCTTGGGGCCCTGGCACCTCTGCTCTAGTGCCAGCCCCAGCAAGAAGCTCACAGCCAGGAAAGAGCAAGGACCCTCCAGTTTTCCCCGCCTTGCCACAATCCTACCCTGAGGGTCAAGGACAGAGACCGAGGGCAGCCAGGTTTGACCAGGACCCACACAAGTGGGGCAGAGCTGGCCCAAGACCACCCTCACCGTTAAGTAATGCCAAAGCCTCCCTGCCCAAGCCTGAGATAGTCCCTGGCAGGTGACCACGACCTGCGTGGTCCTCCCTGCAGTTGTCATGGTGGTTGCACCCCCCCTTGCACTCCCCTGAGGAGATACAGGCTCAGTCCTGTGCCTGGTGCCCACAGTCATAAAGATGGCTGTAAGTCTCTAGCCTGATATCTAGGACCCAGCAGGGGTCAGCATCCAAGGCGTGATCAGAGGAAAGTATTGGCAGGCTCAGCACAACCAAAGAAGTCAGGGCCCACGAGACGGGGGAAGCCTTCTAGCGCCTTCACCTTCACAGGGTCAAACTTCCAGTAGAGGCGGCCACGCAGGAAGTAGGCATAGCCTGGGAAGAGAAGAAGGTCAGGTCTGGGCAAGTGGACACTGGGCCCTGGGTCTACTTGTCAGGCTGTGTCCAGGGGTGGGCCCAGGGGAGGGCTGGATGGGCAGGTCTTGACCACCGCTGAGCTTCTTGAAACCTGCAGGAGCCAGGGCCGGCCTTCCAGAACCCTTCTCCAGGGAGCCCATCTGCCTACCCGAGTTTGGCCCAGGGCTATCACCCAGCCTGACAGGTGCCCAGAGCCTCAGAGGCCCAAGGCCTGCCTCTCAGGAAAGCAAGTCCTACTGCCCTCATGAAGTTACTCTTTCTGCACCTGCCAACCAGGCTACAGACGGGCATCCTGGAGTCCCTGAGCCTGAGGCCACCCTTGGACAGCTCTCCCAGTAGGTCCTCATGTGGGAGAGAGCGCACAGACGAAAAGATAGGCCTGACAGGGGAAAGAACACCAGACTTCAAGTCCTGACCTGGCTGTAGTCCTTTGCATTTATGAACAGCTGGGCGATTGCGTGGTTAGGAGCAAGAACTGCCTGGGTGGGAGTCCTGGCTCTGCCACTGTCCACCTGGGTGGCCCCATTTGGGAACCTCATTGCCTAAGCCTCTGCTTGTTCCTCTGGAAACTCGGTTTACAACAGGTGTTACATCAGAAGGCTGTTCTGAGAATTGCATGAGACCTGTAAGGAGCCTGGGGCATTGCTGGCCCTCAGTGTGCAGCAGTTACTCTACTAGCTGTGACCAAGGGATCAGGGCAAGACCCTGCACTTATCTGGCCCTCAGTCTCCTCATCTGCAACACAAGTATAGCACTGCCCGGCAACCAGGAGGATGGCAGATAGCAAGAGATAAAGGACTTGTGATAAAGAGCCCGGCCTCCTATTCCAGGCATGAGGGGACCCAGCCACCACTGGATGAGAAATGAGGCAGCTATGCCCCCCTCCCACTTCCTCCCATGCCCAACACACCATCAGCGTCCTGGAAGGCGGCGTCGATCTCAGAGGGCACCCCTCGCCAGTCAGTGGCCCGGCGGGGCACAGGATTGTCCACACGCCGGGTGCTCAGGTGGAAACGCCAGTAGTCCCCGCCTCGGAAGAAGTAGATCTTGTTCTTCTCGGAACCCCAGACCAAGGCAGCATGGACCGGGGACCCCACCAGGCCCAGCTCAGAGAGGGGCTCAGGGCCCAGAACTGGCTTCTCACCGTCGTATACCCAGTACTGAGCACCTGCCGGAGAGGGAAGGCTGCAAGGGACCATCGAGCCACCATTGTCACGCCCAGCCACTGTGGACCTGCTTGGCCACCACCACAGACTCTCCCAGCCTCAGTTTCCTTATCAGTAAAACATGTGGGCCAATAATGTCTGCTCAGCAGCCCCTCCCCCAGAGGGAAGCCGCTGCTGCTGGGATAAGTTGGGGGCAGTGAGGTCTCTGTAAAGTACCAAGTGGGTGAGGTTACTCTAATCAGCTGAGGGCTGCTCGGGACCTGCTCCTTCCCCTTCCCCTGACACTTGGCAATTAGTGACAGATGCCTGCTGACCACTCCTCGGGCCCCTGCAGGCTCCCAGTTGCCTAGAACCCCTGCACAGGTTTCCCTTGCTGCACCTCTTTTAAGAAATCCCAGTAATGGAG